CAGTCAAGATTCACTAAAGCAATTGCAAAGAATACTAGAATTTATACATGCTGTAGCAGAAACCTTTACATTCTGCAATTTAAAAAATAAAAAAAAAAATCTTATTTTAAAATTGGTCATCTTCATTTTCTGTTCAGGCGTCTGGAGCTTGAAGCCCTCCTTCTGACCATGATGTCTTTATGTATAATTCAGCAGCAGGCACTCACTTAAAATTCCAGGCCTGTTTTTTGGAGCATATACAGACAGTGTTGTTGAGCACAGCAGTCCAAATTCTGCTTGGCTATAATTTAGCCATCCAACTCCAGTTTCCATGATTTGAGATTAATTCTGTCCTGGAAGGCAGAAGAAATTGGTAGACTCTTTCTTTGATGGTCTAAGTAAAAACCACATATACTCTATTTGTACAAAGTGAGCACAATACACATGGCACAGAAAGAAACATTAGGATGTAGACCTTTATGGTGTGTATAATGTTTATTCATTGTACAAGGAAATACTGCAAGATATTTAGATGAAGTAACTTCCCCTTGATACACAGTCAGTCTTGATGGATTTTTGCACTTTCTGCTCCAGGTCTTCTCCAAAATAGAGATTTAAATTAGGTAAGTGGGCGACATAACACCAGAGATGCACTTTGAATAGACTAACAAAATACTATACTAAAGACTACTGTTCCAATAGGACATAACCTATTTGTAGATACTGTTACAAAAAAAAAAAAAAAAGGACAAAACATTTTTCATAAATGATCTTGTTCTGCTCTGTAGACTCACACTGGAAATCTTTACACTGAAACATAATAGCAATTTGTTATGTAAAGAAAATATGTCCTCTTATAATTTCCTATTACATTGCTACTTCTCGTGCCTTTTCAGCCCTTCTAAGTTTTGCTTGAGTACAGGGCCTCTGCTATATCAAACCCAGCACAGCAGTCCAGTTTTATCTTTGAAGAAACTTCAGTGAACTCAAATAAGGATGAGGGCAGTTCTCTGTTCCACTGTAATAACAAAGTAGAAAAAGACTGAAGTTCACTAACAGAACCAGACAAGGAATAAAACAGGGACTGTAGGAAAAACTCCTGGACTAAACCATGGGAAAATATCCTAGGCGAGTTTGAACTGGTTGCAGAATCCCAACAAATAGATCACCGTGCTGCAAAGCTTCACAGAAAATGAGGTATACTCGCAATTGTCCCATGTACTCACAAGTAGACTTGCCATTGCAGGATGTCACAAAGAATGCTGAAGGCTACAGGTGCTAAGATCAGAACCAGGAGCATTTCAGGTACTACAGTGAAGTTCGACTGGAGATAATAAATTGAACTTGGGCTCAGTTTATTGTCTACTACAGCAGGTCCTTTGAACTAGTATATGAAGAGACAGAAAGTCACAAAATTATACCATGAGCCTGCCAGCTTTCAGGGGTCTGAAAAGGCTCTAACTACACCGTTCCTCAGAAAGAGAGACTCCTCATGCAGCCACGGAAGCAGAGGGGTGGGGAGCTGCCTATGCCAGGGAAAAAGTTCATAAAAAAATACTACAATGACAATGCCAAGTAACCTGTTGAGTGCAGCTGACTGAAATCAGGACAAACTTCTGTCATGTTTTTGAAATTTAAGTGTAAAACAGTAGTAAACTGGAAATGGTAAATAACTGAGGTTGCTTTGCACCTAGTATAAAATCCTATACAACTGGCAGATCTCCTCTATATATTTTTATGAATTAAATAAAGAAGTCTATTAAACAAGTTAATATACATGCATAGTGGGAATGTGCATGTGGGCCTTTAGGAATCAGTGTTGACTTGCATCTGTCATGCTGGCTTATAAGGGAGACATGAAAACATTCTATTACAAAAAACATACATAAAGAAAATGAACGTCCTTAGTCAGTTAAGAGCAGTACCCACTGTTGTCATAGTGCAAAGAGAGAAAATCCCAAAGTCACAAGTGAGGTCGCACCCAAGGAGCATCATATTGCATCAGCATCCTAAAGGCTAAAAACCAAGCCTGAAGTATTTTCAGTGGCATGCAGTTTAGCTGGGACCACTAATTCAAATTGTGTTCAAAGACTTAACGTTAGAACTGCTCCAAGCATTAGATCCTCAAGAACTGTCTCAAATGAAGCAGAAACAGTAGCCTGTAAAGATCACCTGGTTAAGCAGAAAGCCTGTACTACAGGATGCCCATTTGCAAGAAGATACAATAGCGAAAAACTGTTACAAAAGTAAGTCCTGAGAACCTGAACTGACAGAACATGACAGGTGCAGAAATACTAACTTTTGTTAAAAGGTGTTATTTTTGTTGTTCTTGTACCACAGGAGCATTTTAGAGTACAAATTAAGTAGCTGGAGAGACAGCTTTAACGTGATTTAAAAGAACAAAGTGCTTGGGGCCACGATACATTCTCTTTGCCACTGCTTGCCCCGGCCACGTACCGTGGGGCCAAAAACCATAGCAGCAGGAAGCTAAGAGGAAGAAGCAATGCAGTTAAATGCACTGCAGAACAATTCCACTACTTAAGCAGGAGTCGCAGTCCACGTGCATGTGCAGCACTTCCAATAAATAAGCAAGACCCTCCCCGAAAGCTCCCAAGAAGAAATGATTGTGCACTGACAGCCAGTGTGTCACCAACACTCACATTCCCGCTCCACGACGTTTTTTCTCCACTTGCCTGTCCTGTCTGTGTACATTTGAAGCCCCTCAGAGCAGGGCTGTGTTCTGATGACTCCAAAGAGCTTAGCCAAGAGTGACCCTTTCTTTTATGGAGGCTAAAATAAAATAAAGTGGAAATATGCATTAATTGGAAGAAAATAGATTTACTCCCCAGGTTTAGCTGAGCTTACACCGTGCAAAATCCCTCAGCTAATTTGGGCATTTCCAATTCCAGTCAGGCCACAGTCTAACAGTTCCCTTTCAACACACTTCACCTTCAAAGAGAGTTTAGTTCTATTATGGAGAATCGGGAAACTGTAGAGGACGCTCAGAATTTAGGATCAACACTGTCAAACTTGGGATCCTCCAGAGAGGAACCTAGAGAGGGGTACTTTTAAGAAGTCCTGAGCCCCTGTCCCCTGCTACCCATAACTACCAGGTATGCAGCAACTCTCAAATCAGAATATTTCAGCTATTGCCTACACAAAGAGTTAAGTATCGAGTAACAAAAAAGTTAACCCATGCTAATTTTGTCGGGCATAACTAAACTAAAAGACATGCCGTTTTCAATTTTTGACAAAATATCCTAACCACTGCTCTTTCTGTTACCTTTCAGGCTAGGCAGGGAGTGATCAAAGAGCACTAACCGCAATCCCTGCCTCTCCATCGTGGCAACTCTAATGGCCTTTCCCAAGGCCAACAGAGTAATTGTACTAAGTGCACTGTAATCCCCAGGTGTCATTTACTGAGGTTCCGTTGAAATGACGTAATTAATGAAGCTGCACTCTGTCAAGAAATACTGAGTTAAAATTCTGAATTAGCTTATTACCTCAAATTAGGTTTCATAAAGCTTGAGCATTTTTTTTTATTCAAGTTATTATTTAAAAGCAGAACAAAAAAATCATAGTGGGTAAGTTATCAGAACAATATACAGTAGCATATTTAATTAGAACATACAGATATATGTAAAGCAGATGCATCCTACATTTGTGGCAGGAGAGGAAAAGACTCTGCAGCACTGTTTTGGAAAGACCAAAAGGGAAGAAGCTGGGAGTGGGGAAGACAATAAAAAGGCTACAGTGAAACTGGAGTTGAAAACCCCCAACTATTTCCAAATATCCTTGTTATCCATCAACACTGTATCTTATAAAATTCACAAAATAAAAGCCTCCACAAAGTATTAGGTACTTACCTGAGCAGAAATGCACACCATCACTCATTTCGACCCCACTTCTATGCAGACCGGTGATGCTATGCCAACGTGACAGCGCTGAGGGGGCCCCACCAGTGGAGAATTTCCGAGGGTGATTGGGAAGGAAAGCAGGCAAGCAAGAAAAAAGCAGCTGCAAGAAAAGTAGTGGGAAGAGTTTAAAGGTCTCTGTGAGGTCCTGGTCTGCCAGTTAATCACACAAAACTGCAGAGGGATGGAGCAAAGAAGCAGAGAAAAATAACAACCCAAGTGCTATGAACAGTTTGAAAGGGGATGAACGTAAAATAGGATTTAAATCAAAATGCAGAAATAAATTTGACACCCGAGACAAGAAAGTCAAAGCTGGTATGAAAGCGAGGAGTGCAAGAGGTTAAGCGTTGCTGCCCATGAGTTGGTACCAACCCAGGCAAGCCACAGGGACAGTAACAAGTGGGAACTGTGCCCTCCAGCCACCGCAGGCTGCAGGAGAGTGGAGCATCTGTAAACAGATCCTTGCAAATTATGTCTATTAATTTTGCAATTGTTACCATAATACCATTGAATGAAATAGCCTCTATTTTATACAAAATAATATTTATTTTGGCAGGATCATTTTCCTCTGTGTAAAAAATCTTATTAAAGAAGAAAATGATTTGATCTTTGCATCCACTGAGAACAAGACAAAAAGAAAGCCAACTTAATTTGCACCAAAGTTTTAAATTAAAATCTAAGGATGAAGGATGACAGCTAAGTATGGAAACTAAGAGGCTGTACATATTTGTGTCTGACAGAGCATTGCTTTCTTAACATCAGACTAGAGAAACATGTATAAGGGCGGGGCTTAGGGCCATGTAAGTTGCACCAGGGTGAGGAACCACTGTTAGATCCGTGGTTCCCACATTGAGCTGGCAAAGCTTCACAAAGACACCAGTTCATTCCCTAGCCTTTGAAATTACTTGATACGCAACTGAGGGTCCATGCAAGAGGGGCTGTTGGCTTAATGAAGGCCACAGCCAGCGTACGTTGAGGGCAAGATTCACAGTCGCTGTTCTCCTGGCTCAGAACGACTGTCTGAGTCCCTCTGATTTTCTGGTGAGTGGGAGGGATGGCAGCCGTACACCTTCGGCTGGTGGAGTCCAGCGTCCCCTGCAAACGGGAATGGAGCAGGTACCGGAGGCAGCTTCCGTGCGTTGCTGCACCCATCGGGTCTCCCCCTTGCCTGGCACTGGCTCCCGCCGGGATGGCGGGGACGCTGCTCTCGCCGCCGCGGCCTTTGCCGAGGCCGGGGG